GATCTAGCAGGCTTGCCTTAGTTTTTTCCTAGGATGTCTCGGCGAGCTTTTTCCCTTTTATGAAGGCCTTAACTTTTGCCTAAACCGCCCTTTGCGGGTTTTCGATCTAGCAGACTACCCTATTCTTTCCTGGGACTGTCCTAGCAGGCGTTTGTTTATTTTGATCTTTTTTTCTTTTTCTTTCTTATTCTTTCTTGTATTGCTTGTTTTTATGCATGCTCATGTTTCGTTAATACAGAGGCATTTTCACAAGTAGGGACTGTCCTAGCAGGCGTTTGTTTTTTTTGATATTTTTTTCTTTTTCTTTCTTATTCTTTCTCATATTGCTTGTTTTTATGCATGCTCATGTTTCATTAATACAGAGGCATTTTCACAAGTAGGTCAAGAAAAGAGAAGACAATTTTTATTGATATAATCAAATTATTCATTTTTACAGTAGGATCTACAAAGGAATTTATAAGTAAGGCTGACCAAGGTTGACTAAACTGTATAGGATATAACAATCATGCCTGTAATTTCTATTTCTCTGTTTTTCCTGGTCGCTTTAATTGAGATGTTCGAGCTCGGAGTGAAGATCAAGCGAAGTCTGCTTGTTTCCGAGAAGGTATTACTTTAGCCACCTTACGGTTTTCGGCTAAGGTAATCATTGCTCCTTTTCTCTTTTTTTTTTTTTTTTTTTTAGGCTCTAATTTTTTCTAGGACGTATCCTAGCGAGGAATATGGACCCTATCTTTTGCCCAAGACGCTCTTTGCGAGTTTTCATCCTGACGGGTCATGAACAATGTCTTCAGGCGTAGTATTTTTTACCGCGTCTGAATTAACTGGGTGTCGAAGTTCTTCTCCGTCCATGTTGGTGAGGATCAGAGCTCCTCTTGAGAAGGCTCGCTTGACCACAAAGGGTCCTTCATAGTTTGCTATCAATTTTCCAATTTTATCTTTCTAGGCTGGAAGCAACTTCTTTATTACCAGATCCCCTTCTCGAAAAGTGCGGGGATTGATTTTCTTGTCGTAGGCTTTCTTGATCTTCTTTTGATAAACTTGCCCCCGACATATGGCGTCCAGCCGTTTTTCTTCGATTAGGTTCAGCTAATCGTACCGGCTTTGGACCCATTCGGCTTCTATTAATTTTGCTTCCATAACAACTCGCAGGGAGGGTATTTTGACCTTCATTCCGTATACGAGGGAAAACGGAGTAGCCCCTGTGGAGGTTCGTACTGAAGTTCGGTAGTGGTGTAAGGCGAAGGGAAACATTTCATGCCAATCTTTGTAGGTTACTTCCATCTTCTAGATGATTTTCTTAATGTTCTTATTGGCTGTCTCTACTGCACCGTTTATCTTTGGTCGGTACGGAGAAGAATTGTAGTATTGAATTTTGAAGTCTTGACATAGTTCCTCCATTATCTTATTATTAAGATTGGTCCCATTATCAGTAATGAGCCTATGAGGGATGTCGTACCGACATATAATATTTTTCTTGATGAAGGTGGTTACCACTTTCCGAGTCACATGCGCATACGATGCTGCCTCAACCTATTTGGTGAAATAGTCAATGGCCACCAAGATAAAATGATGGCCATTAGATGCTTTGGGTTCAATGGGTCCGATGACGTCTATGCCCCACATAGAGAATGATCATGGTGTAGCCAGGATACTGAGAGGTGCGGGCGGCACGTGAATATTATCGGCATAGATTTGGCACTTGTGACACTTTTTAGCATATTGGTGACAATCGGCTTCCATTGTGGACCAAAAATACCCTGCCCTTAAGATCTTCTTTGCCATGACATGCCCAGGTGCGTGGGTCCCAAAAGTTCCTTTGTGGATTTCTCTTATCAAGGTTTGGGCTTCTTCTTGGTCCACACACCTTAAGAGAGTGGAATCGAGACTCTTTTTGTAGAGGGTTCCTTCAATCAACGTGAACCCTACTGCCCTTTTACGAATGGTTCGCTTATCATTATCATTGATTCCTTCGGGATATTCGCCCTTCATGAGGTATTGCTTTATGTCGTGATACCAAGGGTTTTTATCACGCTCTTCGTTTACTGTCATGCAAAAAGCTTGTTTGTCATGCAGCCTAATTTGGATGATTGACATTTCATGTTCTTGATTAAAGGAGAACATGGATGATAGAGTGGCGAGAGCGTCAACAAACTGATTGTCTTCTCGAGGAACGTATTGGAATGTGACGTTTTCCATTCTCGAGACTAAATCACGGATGTGCTCTAGATATGAGATTAATTTAGAGTTTCGGGTTTCCCATTCACCTTTAAGTTTAGTAACCCCATGATCTAGAGCTGCTTGGATTCCTAGTGCGCATGCTTCATATTCGGCCATGTTGTTGGTACAATCAAAATTCAATCTGGCCGTTACGAGGATATACTTCTTTTTTGGGGATATCAAAATAGCTCTTATCCCATGTCCAAGCATGTTTGAGGCTCCGTCGAAGAACATGGTCCATGATTCTTCTTTGGTCTCTTCGTGTTCGATGTGCATGATATGTTCATCGGGAAAATCGTTCTGTAGGGACTGATACTCGTCTGTTGATCCATGGGCTAGATAGTACGCTAGGGGACTACCTTTAATAGCTTTCTGGGTGACATGAATGATGTCGAACTCTGAGAGGAGCACTTGCCACCTAGTTATTCTTCCAGTCAGAATGGGCTTCTCGAAGAGGTACTTGATTGGGTCCATTTTGGAGACCAACCATGTTGTGTGTCGAGCCGTGTATTGTCTAAGACGTTGAGTGACCCACACCAATGCGCAACAGGTCTTTTCAAATGGTGTATAACGGGTCTCATAGTCTAAGAATTTTTTGCTGAGATAGTAAATGGCTTGCTCTTTCTTCCCAGTTTCATCTTGTTGACCGAACACACATCCCATGGACTCTTCGAGTATTGACAAATATAGGATCAGAGGTCTCCCATCAACGGGTGGTACCAATACTGGCGGATTGGTTAAGCATGTTTTGATTTTATCGAACGCTTGTTGGCATTCTTCATTCCATACCGTTGGTTGATTTTTACGCAACAGTTTAAAGATAGGTATGCATTTATCTGTTAACTATGCAATGAAATGGGCAATATAGTTGATTCGGCCAAGAAATCCTCTGACCTCTTTTTCTGTGCTTGGCGGGGGCATTTCCAAAATCGCCTTGGTTTTGTCAGGGTCTACCTCGATTCCTCTTTTGCTGACGATGAACCCCAAGAGTTTTCCTGACCGTACTCTGAAAGTACATTTTGCCGGGTTTAGTTTAAGTTGATATTTCCATAGCCGATCGAACAATTTCTTGAGATATTGAATGTGGTCCATCTCATTTCTGGACTTGGCGATCATGTCATCCACATACACCTCTATTTCCTTGTGGATCATGTCATGGAACAGTGTGACCATAGCCCTTTGATAGGTAACCCCTGCATTCTTGAGTCCAAAAGGCATTACACGGTAGTAGAAGGTGCCCCATGGTGTGATGAAAAAGGTTTTTTCTCTGTCCTCGACGACCAATTTAATTTGATTGTACCCTGCATATCCATCCATGAAGGAATAAAGCGTATTGGTAGCGGTATGGTCTACTAGCGTGTCTATATGTGGTAGGGGAAAATCATCCTTTGGACTCGCTCGATTGAGGTCCCTATAATCCACGCATACCCTGACCTTCCTGTTCTTTTTTATGACAGGCACTATGTTGGCCAACCATTCTGGGTATTTGGACACTACTAGGAAATTGGCGTCCAGTTGTCTTTGTACCTCTTCCTTAATCATTAAGGACCAATCTGGTTTGATTCTTTTGTGTTTTTGCTTCACAGGTCGAAACCCTTCTTTTAATGGCAGTCTATGCTCCACTATACTTGTGTCAAGTTCGGGCATGTCATGGTAGGACCAGACGAATACATCCATATATTCTTTTAGAAGCTATATCAATCCCTCCCTTATGCTACTTTTTATTTGGGTGCCAATGTTTATCTTTTTCTCATCATTCCCTTCTCTCAAATTGATAGTTTCCGTTTCTTCTTGATGCGGTTGTATGACGTGTGCTTCTTTTTCCAGCATTCTTTGCATGTCCGGGGAAATGGTCCCCTGCTCACTGTCGGACTCGACCCATTTGCCTTCGGCTTCCGGGGCCCACAGAGATTCATCAATCACAGACATGATGTGTTTTAGGTTCTATTTTAGTCATAGATTTTATTATCCAATTATCTTTGAAGGAATAATAAATAAAAGAGGGAAAAGAATGAAATGAATATGACAAGAAAATGCCTCATGTATTAAGAAAAAATGAAAACGTATGTACAAGCCCTTTTAATCAGAGTTCCTGCGGCCACGGGTGGGGATCGCAGGAGATACAAGAAAAAGCTTTAAAAAAAAAGGGCACCCTGGGGGCTGATCCTCCCAGTCCTCCCTCTCTGCTACTCTGGCTTAGACAGAGGTTTGGCATCGACATCAGAAGCAGAGGCATCAAAGGTTATCCAACCAGCATCAATTAGTTCTTGGACCTTATATTTTAAGGTCAAACAATTGTCCGTTGAATGCCCAGGTGCATCCGAGTGATAGCTACATTTTTCGTTGGGCTTGTACCACTCGGGGTAGGGAGTCTCCATTTTCTTGGGAGGAACACGCGCCAGAAGATTAGCCTCCAATAACTGGGGCAACAGCTTTGCGTATGAGATGGAGATAGGGGTGAACTTCCTCTCCTTTCTTTGTGGCTGCCGCTCTGTCTGCGAGGTGGAGGAAGGGGTTGCAAATTAATGGTGTGTACAACCTCCTCCTTCTTTTTGAAGGGTTTCTTGAATGAGGTGCTGGATGAAGAAGGTCGCGCTATTTTCCCGCTCCTCAACCCCTGCTCCACTCTTTCTCCTACAATGACTATGTTCGCAAAAAGATTGGAGGTACTGGCTATTGCTTTATCGCAGTAAGCTCCAATCAGTGAATCGATGAACATAGCCACTATTTCCTTATCCGTCAACGGAGGCTCTATCTGGGTGGCCATTTCCCTCCACCTTGGCTTACGCTTTGAAGGATTCGTCGTCCCTTTTGCTTAGGGTCCTGAGATCTGACCTGTCAGGGGTCAGATAAGAAGTCTTTTCCGATCTTCCACTAAGTAAGGTATCGTCACGACAACTCAATTTGCCCGGTAAACTAGTCGGGGCTCCCCATGGTTTAGTAATAGGGAGGGGATAATGTCTCTTCATCCGGGGGTTCATTTCATGAATTATGAACTAAAAAAAAAGTGTAAGGCTGATTAGTGAGGTCTTAAAAACTTCATACAATGAATGATCAACCATTCCATTTGTGCTTTCAGCAAGTAGGCGACTACGGCGAAAGCGGCGAAAGAAGCAATCCATAGAAAGATTTGGCGCCACTCACTAAATTATGTGGTTAATGATATTTGTAAATCGACGGCCCCTATTTGGAAAAGAATCAATAGAATAGCTAATAGCATAAAAACAGATGCACGCAAGCAAGGAATTAGGTGGCTTATTCCCTTCAAAAGAGCTTAGAAAAAAGTCCGATTGAACTCACAACCGAAGATGTGAAGAAATCGACTGCATTAGCACTTCATAAGAGAATACCGGACTCAGTGAAATCTTTAGTTTACATCGAGACGAGACCAAGTCCCATTGAATCTCTTGGAGGAAGATCAGTAGGCGAGGATCCCGTACTTCTGGCTCTAGCCCGCTTCACTGCATGAAACAAACGGTTAGGTTAGACCTCTTGCATTTCTTCCCTAGAGACCTGTCCCCCCATAATTGACTTTTGGTCTAAAGAGATAGACTTGGCTCTCTTCTCTTGACCTTCTTCCTACTTGACCTTATCCATTTTGTTATCTCTGGGAATCATGCGCATGGCTCCATGTCGGCCTTAATTTGGCGTCGGTGTAACGACCGGTGCAAGTAACAAATACTACCTACGAGTCTCATTCTCTCGCATTAAAAGATAAATATTCTCCTTTATCAATGGGATTACATCAAGAAGAGGGCTGGATGGGGAGTCAGAAGCATCACAAGGAGCGGTACTTCCTGTTACTGTTTGTATCGATAACGACAAAGAAAAGTGTCAGCCAACTATTTCCAGTTTTGGACCTGCCCTCTCTCTAACTGCATGTACCAATTGAGAGCCGTGTCGGCCAGACTCTCCTGGAAGCAGTGGATCAGGAGCTTTTCATTTTCAGCGTGTGCGGCCATCTTACGACAGTACATTGTAAGATGGTTCTTTGGGCAGGTCAACCCGGCATACTTGGGGAAGTCCGGGATTTTGAATTTGGGAGGGAAATGGATGTTCTTCACCAGGCACATGTCCGCCACCTCCTTGACGTCAAAGTTGTGCCCCTCTATTGCCTTCAGTCTTTCCTCTAGGGCGGAGATTTGCTGCTTAGATACCTCCAGGGTGAGGATGCACGTAGTCTGAGCATCCTTTTGATCGTAGAAGTATTCCTCTTCTTCTTCCTCTTCATGGCGAGAGGCGTGTTCTGTTTGGGCTTCGCCCTTGTTCTGACCCTAGCGCACGACCTCCATCAATTGGGTCATTTGTTCGCGGAGGGTATTAACCTCTGTAGTGAGCTTGCGGTTTTGTTCCTCTAGGCTTTCCATTGCTTTTGCCTTTTGCACACGGGTTCGGATGGGGAGAGGACCAACCACTTTCTAGAATGCCCGAAAGAAGTTTATTAATGCATGTTGAGTGTAGGACCAAAATGGATGTGTTTATGTATGAGAGATTCTGTTTGGATGATGCCAAATGCACTCTCTCCTTTTATTTTCTCTCTTGGTTTTTTTCACTCATGATATGATGTAATATGAATGATTTGACTTTGTCAAAGATCATCTTATTTATTTTCTAGATTTGATTTGAATTTTTATTTGATTTTATTTTGGGGCCTTTTATCTCTTCTGTCGGACTGCGTGGCTACTTAGCTTACAAAGAATCTGAAACCAAGGTAGCTAAAAGGCAGACTGTCCGAGATAAAAATGGCTTTATGCGAAAGAATAGTATTTAGCGTCCCTTATCTCTTCTGTCGGACTGCGTGACTACTTAGCTTACAAAGAACCTGAAATTAGGCTAACTAAAAGGCAGACTGTCCGAGATAAGGGTGTTTATTGTGAAAATATTTTTTGTGGTTTTTCTGTTGTTTGGTTATGCTATGCAACAAACAAATACAACAAACAAATGCGCACACAATTCGGTCATCTGCGAACAGGCGAGAAGTCGTTTTAATCACGAGGTAGGGTTTTCCTGCAGAAAAGTGCATTGGCGAAGGTAGGTTCTAACTGTTCTCACCAAGGCTAAGGCCCCCAAGGTGCCCCCATTATAGGGTCCCCACTCTCCAGCCTTCCGACCATGCTTAGCACTAAGGCCATAGTCAGTCTTTGTGCCAAAAGATGAAGGTTATCACCTTGAGTGGTGGTTTCCGGTCACACTGGTGGGCTCAAGACCATCACTACAGCGAACCATACCTGCCACCCACTCCCTATGGATTTCTTACTTGCCCCCAGGTATAGAGGGAACCATTGTGTGCAAAGGTTTGTGTACAGTTTGCATTTCAAACAATTGCGTAAATGTAAATAAACAACAATTATTAAAGCTAAGAATTAAAACATGTTATAATACAAAGTAGCGTAAAAGCGTAATTTCTTGATTTATTTATTTAAGCTGGCACATCACTAAATGGGATCAACTCTCTAGGCTTCCCCAGTGGAGTCGCCATCTGTCACCGCCGTCAAAAAGAGGCGGTCGGAGCGACGCGATGGTTCCGACTTTCCAATTTTCGCATTTTTATGGGTGATGTTACAACGCCTTTAGGTTTTCCGATAACCGGGCTGAACCTAGAGGCGAGGTTTTCAAAAGGGTGTTCTTGGATTGTCTGATAACCGGGCTAACCCAAGAACTAATTTGAAAGGGTTCTTATGGAGTCGTCACCGATGTTTTTACCGGAAACATCGAAAAAGGAGTAAAAAAAAAGGTGTTGGTTTTCGAAAACCAACTTTGGTCGTTAAAACCAGAGTTTAGGTAAGGGAGTTAGTTACGTGTAAGGGAAGTGTTAGTTCCCTTACGACGCTCCTTTCGGGTTCCCTATGATAGGCCAGCTATTTAATAAATAAACTTGTGAAAAGACGTTTTTACCCTTTTATTTACGGGATTAAAGTAACGACTACATGGCCCTAATATCTATTACGCAATTTTAATCATAAAAATAAAGGCAGTAAAAGAGAGGGAGAGAGTGAAGAAACCTCCGAAGCAAGCTTTTTAATTAATTCTCTAAAAATTAGGGTGCGTTTTGGCAGCCCTTTGCTCTTTACAATGCCGGAAAACTCTCAAAAACGCTATAAAAGCTCTAAAAAGCTCTCAAAAACTTCGTAAATGCTTCGGAGGGGTTCTAGGAAGAGAATTTGAAGAAGTTGCAGAGGGGAAAGTGGAAGAACTGTGTGAAATGAAGGGGGGAACGCTCACTATTTATAGGGATTCGCGCCTGTCAGGTCGAGACGGCCGTCTTGCCATTCAGGACGGCCGTCTCGACTTGTAAAAGTGGCGAGACCGCCGTCTCGTTTAGCTAGACGGCGGTATCGACTTTCCCAGAAATGAGAAGGCCTTCTCGCCAATCGGGAAGGGGTCTTACCATTCGCAAGTGGTGAGACGGTCGTCTCGCCAAACGAGACAACGGTCTCGACTTGCTGAAATGGCGAGACGGTGGTCCCAAAAAGTGAGACAGCGGTCTCGATCCTTGAAGGCGAAAATCCTTATTTTAATGCAGAAAATCCTTCCTATCCTAGTATGGGGCCTAATAGTCTCTTCTAATGGCTTCTTAGGCTTCATCCATCTTTGAAAAGGAGGTCTTCTGATCTTATTTATGTGGCCGGGCAAGATTTGGGGTCTACACTCATAGACTCGATCAATAAGAGGGTAAATGCAAGTCGCATTGTTTGAGCATATGAGAGGAATGAGTGGAATTAGTGTGAATCATTGGAAGATGTTAGTGGAAGTCGAGCTGCTTCATCACTAGTTATAACTAGTTCGAAAACCAAAGAGATAAAGAACCAAAACTCAGAATGCAGAGTCTGTAAGATTTATACAACTCAACGAATGAGGTACATATTATTTATCTCTTTAAAAACTACTATAGATGAAAAGTGGTGAAATTGCTATAGATAACAAGAATCGAGCAATAGAACAAAACAACACATGAGAGATGACTGAGCTATTGAGCTGCTCACTAGGTGTTTAAAAAGAAGTTGAATGCACTGGGGGAGGTGGAAAGATACAATGCTCAATTAGTTGCAAAGATGTACAAGCAAAAAGAAGGAATAGATTATGACGAGGTGTTCGCCCCAATGATGAGAAAGGAAACAGTTTGGCTATCAATCTCTATATATAAATGGTTGATTATGTAGATGGATGTGAAGCCAACATTTTTTATGGTGTACTTAAAGAAGAAGTGCATATTGAATAACCATCTGAATATGTGAAGAAAGGTAAAGTAATTAAAGTGTTGAAGTTGGGGAAGGCTGCTTATGGATTAAAGCAAGCTCCTCGAGCATGGAATGATCAAATAAATACATACTTCAAGAAGAATGAGATTGAGCAGTGTTGTTTTGAACATACTCTGTATATAAAGAAAAATGGAGGCAATATATTGTTTGTTACTCTCTATGTTGATGATCTTATTTTCATGGAAAATAATCCTTCTTTGATCCAAGAATTTAAGGGCACTTTGATAATTCAGTTCTAGATGATAGATCTGAGAATGATGAAGTTTTTCAATAGCATGGAAATAAGATGGGAGGAATCAAGGATTTTTGTATCCCAAGAGGCGTATGCAAAAGAGATTTTGAATAAATCTAAGATCATCGACTGTAATTCGATGTCAAGCCCCATGGAACCAATGACAAACTTTCAAAGTATGATGGAGGAGATCGAGTTGACCGAGCAATTATTAAAGCCTTGTGGAAAACTTTCGTTATCTTACAAGTACGAGACTCAATTTGTTATTTAGTATTAGTATGGTAAGTTGGTTCATGGAGGAGTCGAACTGTTCACATTGGAAGGCGTTAAAACAAAAATTGAGGTACATCTAGGGTACAAATTCACTCAGGTTGTTTTATACGATGTTAAAAGATTACTACTAATTGGGTACTCAAACAATTATTATGCAAAGATGTGGATGATTGAAAAAGTACATTGGGATATGTATTTTTCATGGGAACCACAACCTTCACTTGACTTTCGAAGAAACAAGCCAAATGACACTATCTACATGTGAAGCTGAGTACGTAGCATTATCGTAAAATGTGTGTCGTGCAATATGATTTAAGAATTTGTTGAGTTCATTGGAGGAGAAGAACCTCAATGCGTCAGTGATCCAAATTAATAACAAGTTAGTTATTGAATTGGCAAATAATATAGTTAACCATAAAAAAGCAAACACATTGATGTGTAGTCCCATTTTATTCATGAACACGTGAAATAAGGATATATAGAACTACTACATGTACCGAACTAAGAATCGAAATCTATTATACATTACAACAAAAATTAAACAAAAATCAAATTTTAAATGAATATAAAAAATATCTAAATATATCAAGATTTGTAAGAATGTTTTATTTTTCCAATACATAAAAGAGAAAATATTCAATATGGTACCTGTTCTATGACATAAACCAAGAAAAAAAACTTACCACAAAAATATTTGAATTAAACAATTAAAAAATATTTAAACATATTAAAAAGAGATTACGTGCAAAGAAGAATATCACGAAAAAAATCAACAATATTAAGTTATTAAAGAATTGTTGTTAGAAAATAATAAAACTCCCTCATAAACTTAATTCGATATGCTCCAACCTAAGAGCTTTCACCGTATTTCATGTCAATCTGCTTCTTACAATTCTTGAGCAACACTGTTGGTAATAGTTTCATGTACCGAGCTACTACATTATATATATATATATATATATATATATATATATATATATATATATATATATATATATATATATATATATATATATATATATATATATATATATATATATATAACTTTTTTATATTTTAAATTTTGTATGATAATGCATGTTTAAGATTATTTTGTAATTAATATTCCGTTAGTCATTTTTTCATGAAATGGTTGTTATTAACTGGTGTTACGGTGAATATTAGATGGCAAAAGTATTAATTAACTAATTTGTTAAATCAAGTAACTTATTATTTGGATGTCACATCCAATAAATATTATATATATATATTAAATTTCATTATATTTATTATCATTTATGATTTTTTTTTAAAACAAAGCTAAATGAGAAAATAGACTATTTGACGCTTTCAAGGACTTCAACCGAGAGAGGGGTGCAAAGGCTCAACATTTTATACAGAGATGTAAAAGTAGAACGTTACATGTCTTCCATGGTAGAGTTTCAAGCCACCCAATCTTCGAAAATTAGCTTTTTGATGAATTAAATGTCATACAAATTTTCTAATACCACCTAAGATATACGTGAGTCCTGTGATAATAAAAAATAGTTGGAAGTTGAGCTTGTAATGTAAAAGAAAAGAATTTGATGCTCACACACAATATAACAAAACAAGGTTAGCTTTTATTTATTAATTTACTAAATTTGCCACAGCTGCACAGTCAAAATCATTTGTGAAAGTTGGGGAAAACAAAATTGGTAAGCCCCACACGTCGGTCTGATAGTCCGTAAGAATCAGAAAAATATTATTTCTGAAATTTTTTTTTTAATATTTTCGTGTTAAAGAAAATTCATAAAATTTAAGTATCTCACTATTAAAAAAATTAAAATATTTTATAATTACTCAAATTCACTTTAGATAAATACTTTTTTTTTTCCAACACAAATATCTCTCTCCTCTTACTTATCATGTCTTTTTTATTTATCATTTTTCATAAGTTAAAAATTATATATATATCTCATAATTTTTTTTATATTTATTACTTTTTTATAGTTTCATTTTTTTTCTCTTACTATTTTTTTCATTCACAACTCATTTATTATATTTTATTGTTTATACTTTTATTGAAAAATTTAATTTAAAAATAATAAAATAAAATAAAAAGTATGAGGTATTAGCCCCTCTTTATCAGGAGGAGACCTATAATATATCATGCCTATAGCATATTGGTCCACCTACCCCACTTTTGGAAGACCACTGACAGACCCATTTTGTCTTCCTAGTGAAAGTCATTTTCAAGCTTTCCTACCGAGGATGGAAAGCCCACAAGGATGGATTAACACGATCTTCTGAGTTATCCACCCAATGCTTCCAAAAACAATTCTAAAACACTAACATGCATTTGAAGTAATAAATTTGTTAAATAATTTCAACAAGAGATTTCTATTTAGAGCACCTTCGATGATATAAGACTACAAACTGCTCTCCTACTCCAGACACAGGCCTAGAAGCTTTTTATTACAAACAAAATTATTAATGAGTCCAAGGAATGCTCTAAGCAACAACATGTTAATACGAGAGAGAAGAATTAAGAGGAGAGAAACCAAAAGAGGTTGAAACATTGAAACTGTGAAGCACAGAAGAGACCACAAACTGATAAGCTCTCTCAGTTGGATGAGCATAATCCCAGAAAACGTAAGTAGCAGGATTTGGACACACACTGAAAAGAGTACACAGCCCTGCAACTCCGAAAACACCAGTCCCACAACACCCTTCTGCAACGTCTAAAAACCCTGAAATAATCATATAAAGTAGCTAACATATTAGTTAACTAATAACGAACACAATTATAAGTTAGTGATATGAACGTTAACAGTGTAGAAAAAAGGACCTGCTTGTTGAGGATTTTGTATTAGATTAAGCAGGGGAGTGTAGACATCGATGAAGCGGATGTCGAAATTGGGAAGACTTGATCTGATGGAATGAACTGCTGATGATAAGAGGCCATTGAATAACTGTGCTTGTCCATTCACAATGGGTGCACAAAACCTTAAGGGTCCCCCTCCTATGGTTCTACCTCCAGGCAAGCATCCCAGTGGTAATGTACTTAGTACCCACACTCGTCGTGCTCCAAGTTCATATAGATTCTTCAAGTTGCACAATTAACATATTACTCATGTGTTTACCATTTGTTAAAATTATATTGTCGTAAAAGAATTGAACTTTTATTGATAAAAAATGAAATGAAGGGGAGATGAGAAACCTTGATAAAAGTTGAAGCCCCTCCAACAAGGACATTGGCATAAGAAGGGAAAGGTTGGAAGATTCTTAAGGATGCGTAATAAGTGATGGCAATGTCATTGTTGCCTGCGGAAATGAGGTATAAACTGTTGGATACGATGTAAGCTGCTCTTTGTTCTCCAACAAGTGCTGCTAGTCTTCCTTTATAATCTCGGAACATTCGCAGTTGAGTTGGAAGTGATAAAACTCTCTGATACACATTCAATAGCATATAATAATCTCTAAATGTTAAACTGATTGGAACTTACTTTTTATTATAATTAAAATGTGTTGTTATTAATGTATTGCAATAATGATTTATAATAATGTTTAGTTTAATTTTAATAGTTATTTACGAAATAATTCTTTAACCAAACAAAACACTTTCCCTCTCAAACTATGGACCAACCTCATTTACTAAACTATCTCTATCAACAACAATTCAAATTAATTGTTTCTTCAAAAATAAAAAAATATAATTTTGTTATACTACACTATATTTAAATACTCTTAATTGATTTTGTTCTAATTAAATTTTTCTTTCAAAACTTAAATGAACTTATTATCTTTGTATTTTTTTTTTAAATTGTTTGATAAAGTAAATATGAATATGTTACTTACAAAATTATTTAAGAATAAAAAATATTATTTTATTGTAAATATTTTTATATAATTTATTTTAAAATAGAAAAAAATAATATTATTCATATATGTAGAATTGAAATAAAATAATATTGTTGTTTATAAATAATTTTTATTAACAACTCCTTTTAAGAAATGTCTTAAAAAAATTTAAACATTTTATCAAATAACATTGAATTCCTTCAATAAATTATTTAAAACAGTTATAATTTTATTTGAAGATTTTGATAAACAATTGTTCTAAGAATTCCAGGCAAAATAAATTAATATGAATTACTTAGAAACTGAGTTTCCAATATTAATTAATTTATGATAAATTACGTTAGTCTACACAAACGATTGATTTACTTAAAAAAGTTATTTTATTATTTTCTAAAAAGTACAGAGAGGTGACTTTAAATATAAAGCATATTTAAAAATAAATACAAATGGAAGGTTTATAAAACCCTAAACCTGTACCTTCTACTCTTTTCTTGTGATTGATTTTTTAATAATAATAATAATAATAATAATAATAATAATAATAATAATAATAATAATAATAATAATAATTTATATTTTATAAATTTTCTTTATATTATTGGATAGCGTTACCTGATTTGTGGCGGTTTGAACGTCAATCCCAGAACCGCCCGAAGCAAAGCTTACGCCGCTGGGCAGATCTCCAGTCCTCAAGTTAGGGTCCAGATATGCCGGCAACGTCGCTTTGATTCCCAAAGCATCCGCTTCATAATATATTTATTCACATTTCAATCATACACTAAAATCATTTTAAGATTACATGATACGGAACAATAACATATTGTTGTATAGGATGAAGAGTTTTTACTTTTTATATGATATAATGATCTCGTTAGTTTTATTATTGACCTCAGTTACTAAATAATGACATGTGTATCAGAATAAATGTTATTTTTTATAAGTTTTATATATTTTATTTTTCATTGATATAAAAAAATAATGAAAAGTAGAAGACAAATATTATTTTTCAAAATAATCTATTTATTTTTTTTTCAAAATAAAAATATACGTGTAACTTATTTATTGTTTTTTAAAAATTGAAATATTATAATTTTAAAAAAATTATGAGGGCATCGTTTCTTATTTATTGTTTAATATTTGTTATTAAAAACATTTCTCGAAAAATATATTATTATTCTTTTAAAAAGGGTTTAAATAGGAAGGCTTGTATTCTTTTATATTATATTGATCCCTATGTATGTGAAAGAAAAAACATGAATGTTGAAAATGTTGTTGATATGATGAAGTAAAGAGGATGAGGAGAATGCAGTGTAATTACCGATCAAATCTGAGGGGTTCCTTCCATTGCAGAATCTTCCTGTTGCTTTTCCTCCATAGAAATTCCTTCCATAGGGAGGATAATTGCACTTAATCAGTGAAGGGAGGTTGTTATTATTTCCTGTGTCAAGAATTGAGTCTCCAAATGAAAACAGTGCCGGAACCTTTCCGTTATCAGCTCCTGTTTTCAGAACTCCAATGGCAAAGAAAACCAAAACAACAAACCTCACTGCTCTCTCCATTTTCCTTTCTCTCTGTTTTTTACCATTTTCCATCTGTTATATGGCAATTTATATCCTCTACACACCTCAGATTGCAGAAACTAAAGTCAAACCTATTTAATATATTATGATAAAAAAATATATATAAAATTTAATCGTTTATTCATGTTAGAATTCACGATTCAATTACTAATAATGTCCTTGTAGCAGTGTCTGATGCATCAATTAGTTTTTTCGAATTTCTTTTATCCGTCATTTAATGATTTAGGGAACACAAGAAATATCAGTTATTATCTCTTGTGCAAAGGAATTATCATCTTTAATGACAGTGGAAATGGCTCTGTTCCCTTTTTCTTTTACTTTTCTATACAAAATACTAAATATCTTTTTTTTTTTTTGGACATTTTGAAAAAAAAAAAAAAAACTAGTGGATGTGGTTAGTAGTTTGTAGAATAGATAGGATAATTTTTTGACTTGACATGGTTTTAATCAGCTAGTTTTTTTTTCCATAAAAATATAAATCAGCTAGTTTTTAAAATTTTCGCTTAATTTTAATTGTCATAAATTTTGAATTAATGGAATTATTTAATGATAAAGTGATGTTTATTTAATTAAGTCATATATTATTTTAAATGATCATTAATATATGTTACATATGTATTGAAGACTGTTTAAAAAAAATTAAGGAAGATGAAAATTGTTACTGAATATTATATTTGAATATAAAAAAATATTAAATCGTATTAAATGAATTTAATTATTTTATTAATTTTATGATGCTAAAAAATTATCATCAAATATTAAATTTTGGCATAAATAATGGAAAAAATTATATAATATTTTAAAAAATAAAAAATATTTTTTCATTCAAATAAAAGATAAATATAATTATTTACTTAGGATGAAACATCTTTTTTTAATAAAATTATAATAAATAATTATTTTTAATACAACTCATATTTTGAATGAAATTCATATATTATTAATTGTCCTATTAAATTCTAATTTACTTATCGCGTAAAAAAAAAATTTGCCCGCTATCCATTTTATTACTTGTTGGATACCTATTAAAAAAACATGCATTTTTTAAATTTATGATACTGCAAATTTTTTAATATTTTAAACAAAATTAAAAAAAATACAATTCAAAAATATAAATTAAAATAAATTACATTCTGAAATTATATATAAATAAAAATTAAAACATAAGTCTACGTTAATAATAGTTCAAAGATTAATTTAAATAAATTTAATCTAACAAATTTTTTTAATAAAAATCATATTTTAAGATTGATGTTTTCCTCATCAATATCTCCACTTGATAAATAAGTAATATATAAATAAAGGAATGAACAATTGATACACTGATATTATTGTTACGTTAGAATGAATATGAAAAATAATATTAACTTCATCATCAATTATTTCTTCTAATATTGTATTAAGCTTCTCTTGTCCACTTTCAATATTAAAGAAATTAGAAATTTTTTTATTAATTGTAACAATTAATCTAAATAAATATAAATATATAATTGAAAATGTTAATTCAGTTACTTTATAGGACAATCCAGGGCTAATCTTAAAGTGTCTCTATATAATCTATTACAACTTGAAATAAGAAATCAATCTCCAATACTGAATTAAGTAATTCCTTCAAATAATAATAAAGTTCTAACTTATAATTTGATGGTTCACTTTTCTTTGCAATTTGATATTTTGCAAAATCTTTCTTTCAAGCATATTTTCTTCCAGCAACACTCCCATTTATATTTATGTTTCAGTTTTGACACGAAGAAGTCAACTTCTTACCTTTAATATTCATCTCATACTCTCTTACCAAGTATTTACAAATAATTTTCACTTTTCAATTTCACAATCAAAACCCTTTCCATATATTTAGTGAAAAAATAATCCAACAAGTCAATTTATACCTAAGATCTAATGTAATACCTATAGTCATCGTACCATTGATCATACCCCAATACTCATCAAATTTTGACATTATATACTTATTTGATATATAACAGAAATGGGAGAGTCAAGTCACTCTATCAAAACCAACTTAATTTGACATACTTTAGAAAGAAAAAAAAAAATGTTAGTAATTGGATATGAAGTATCACAAAATAAAAGAATCACGTCATAAAATATTTCTAACTTTTTAACAAATTTCATTTGCCATTTGCCATTTGCCATTTGCCAATCACATTTACTAGGCAAAGTTTTATATTGATTTTCTCATTTTGACAATCGATCAAATACATCTTTCTATATTGTTGGCTACTTGAAGCATTAAAAATATAGAATTTCATTTGGTTTTGCAATCAAAAACCAATTTCCTACTAAATGGAATTCTCAATTGAACACATGTCTCTATAAATTTCTCTTGTCTTTTAGGTGTTCTTGTCCAAAAATTAGCCCTTCCTCTAACCTTTTCAATTATATTAGCAATTATAGGCAAATCATCCTTCACAATTAAATTCAGTATATGTGCAAAACATCATGTGAAACAGTTAGCCATCCAAAATAAAAGATCTAGGTAAAATCTTATCCAAAATATGTTCAATTATAGCATCATTTATAGTATAATTATCAACTATTAGCGTTGAAACTTTCTATCTAGATTCTAATCCATCAAACATTGAACCAACCAAGAATTTGATTAGTATGAACAACAAACACATGTATAAACCTAAATTTGAAAGAAATGTTTTAACCTAATAAATTTGAAAGAAATGTTTTAATAATTTAGTCAAGAAGAACAAAGTTAATATAAGAATTATAATTGAAATGGTAGTATAGTGTTTTTATCTCAAGTCAACTTTGTAGATTCCATAAATCATCAATAAAGTAAGATGTTACAGTCATGTAGTCTCTATTTTGATTACTACTAGTCCATGTATCCTTGACAACATCAATTTTGTTTTCTCTTTTACTTCATCTTGAATAGAGATGGTAGGACAACACAAAATTCTTAGCCTATGTGATCAACATTGGACATTAATACTTATGTAGGATTATCATTTTACGGAATGTGTTAGATATTGTTTGATATTGCTAAAATATTGTTAGATATTATTAACCACAATACTTTAGAGTTGGAGGCTGATACTCCAACCACTAAACTACTAGAATTTTCCGATAATAACTTAGAAATAAATTATATTTATATATAAATAAATGTATATCTGTGTAAATATATAAATATATAACTATATAAATATAAAAAATATAAATACAAATATATTTATATATTTTGATATATTTATATATTTATATAGTTATATATTTATATATTTATATGTTGGATGTGAGAGCGTGCTCGAGGGTGAAAATGTGTGTCGAGTGGATCTTCAAAATTTGATACCAAATTTAATCTAATTAATAGAACAATTTTTTCCTTACATAGATTATTATAAATTAATCAAAATCATCTTTTAATAATTATTTTTTCCAGACATAGATTAATTTATAATAATTTATTAAATAAAATAATTTTAAAAATAAATATTTAATTATTTTAATATTTGAAAAAATTATTTTAATATAAGATTTTCAATTAAATAATAGAAGAAAAAAAGAATAAAATAAAATAAATAAAGAAAAAAATTATTTTATATCATTATATAAATAAATTATAAAGATTATATTTTATCATTAAATTACAAACTCATATAAAGAGACTCGCTCACAAATTTGACATCAAATTTTGAAAACTCACTCGACACATACTTTCACCCTCGAACGCATTCTTACATCCAACATATAAATATGTAAATATATAACTATATAAATATATAACTATATAAATATATAATTATATTAAAATATAAAAATATATTTTATTTATGTAATTTGTATTTATATATTTACACGGATATACATTTATTTGTATATAAATATAATTTATTTATAAATTATTATCGGAAAATCTTAGTAGCTTAGTGGTTGGAGTATTAGTTTCTACCATTAATGTAATGGGTTGGAATCCTATCAGTGACAATTCTCTTAATTTGATATTATTTCAACTTTTAATGTCGGTTGACTAAAAACCGACATTGAATGTGCAAAAATTCAACTTTCAACGTCGGTTGATTAAAAACCGACGTTGAATGTGTATTCAAAATTCAACTTTCAACGTCGGTTGATTAAAACCGACGTTGAATGTGTCAAAATTCAACTTTCAACGTCGATTGACTCAAAACCGACGTTGAAAGTGTATTCAATGTCGGTTCAGCTTTAACCGACGTTAAATGGCAACGTGGAAAGCATATTTTGTAGTAGTGTCGGTTACTCTTTTAGTTGTACCTCTCTATTATAAATAGATTACCCTATGTGTGGTTTATACACAAGGGAGATTAATCTCAAACTCTATTTTCTCTATATTCAACATGATATCTGTTGAATTATTGGCAAGCGTACCAAAATTATCAATCGCAGTATAGTATTTCAATTAAATAAAAATCGATCCCATGAGGAACAGTTTCAATGGAAATTCCCAATTATCCTTACTAAGTAGATTAAACAGATTGGGTTTTGCAAATAAGAGTTGAATTGAAATTAAATGACAAAGAACTGTAAATTGTTGAGAAAATATTAATTAAAGGTACTTAGGATTGGCTTCCTTCCTTATCCCTCTTTTGTAATGGCTATGCCAATTAAGAACGTCAATTAACCTAACAATGTTGATGTCACCTACTTAAATCATCCATGTTGATTCCTCACACATGAAATTCATAAGAAAACCTAATAAATGTTGATTCCTCACACAATTAAGAGATTTTCCAGCATTAGGGTTAGGGTGTTAAGCAATTGATACATTCATTTCATTCTTGGCAATTAACGTAACAAATATTCTTACCGTGATCTAGGGTTCAAGATATATTTTCCAATCATACCCCAAACATCAAGAATAAATCATTCCAAAGCATAAAGGATAAGAATAACAACATCAAAACATAGATTAATATCTCAAAATATCACCATGATACAAAAGAGTTCAAAGGAAGTGCACTGAATAC